GACCCACACCCAGTTTCACACCTTGGCTCAGGTGATTAGGTGGAGGATCATCAGGAGGTCTTCATAAAAAGGTGGATGGCTGAGCTGAGTGAAGCTGACCCCCCACCCACTTGAAACGTAAAGACAAATAGGCGGAGCGGTTAGTGCTACGTTTGTGCAGGTAAAATGAGCGTTTGTGCTGCTACGGTTTTTGAGATATTAAACATTATCTTATAGGTCTTTCAAAGGTCACCATCCCCCCAGAGTGCTCCAAAACGGGCCAAAATGGTCGACTTTTTCAGTGCTACGTTTGTGCAGGTTTGTGCAGGTACAATGAGCGTTTGTGCTGCTATGATATGAGATATTCTGTTATGGTGTTACTGCTGAAAAATGTCTTTTTCAAATGACCTTTTGCTTTGTGTGTTCACTTGTTCAATAAAGCTTTGTTAATAAACAACGACTCTTATTGTATTTAATCAGCTAAATTTGTAATGAGTGTAGTTTTTTAACTTCAATTTCTTTACTTCAATCACTTTTCGTTCATAAAACCATGATGCAAATGCTTGAGGGTTTTTTTTAGAGTGGATTAAAAAAACTTTATTGAAAACTACATTTGAACATTTTACACTCCCGTGAACAGTTTTTGAGCAGCTGCGCGCTCCCGCGGACGGTAATCACTTTCTGCCCGACGATCACTTTCTAGCACAAAACTGGAGCTCAGGGGGAAAAAAAAACAATCGCATGAGTGCTGCTGTTTGACTGAGGAAGAACAAAGTAGTCATGGTAAGCCAATCACATGACCACTTTAAGATGACAAAGCAACAAGGTGACATATACCAGTTTATAAATTGTGTTGATAGGCCACGTAAGACCAGCAAGCACTCTCTGCTTATGAGCAAAAAAAAAAAAGTCAAAAATAAAACAACCATTTTGTGTTGGTGGAAAAATGCACCATGTCGACCAATCAAAAAGGTTATATGGCAACATGACATTTGGTTGTTTAGGAAGAGGGAGAAGTTTTAGGAGTGACGGCGAGAGAGAAAGAGAGCGAGAGCTGTCACAATGTGGCTGTGTGCAGCCAGGATGAGGCAGGAATGAAATCAAAATTCACAGCTTTATTGCTGGAGAGCAAAACCATACACACTAAACTGGGAAACTATAAACTAGTACACAGAGAAACACACGGCCATGAATGAGGGAGATGCGGACATAAATACGCAGAAGGATAACGAGGGATGTGGGAGCACACAGGGAACACAGCTGATACAGATAATCATAACGAGACAGGGCAGGAGCAAACACGTACACTGATGGGAGACTATCAAAGTAACACAGGAAGTACACAGACCCAGGGCTGGACTGGGACAAAAAATCGGCCCGGGCATTTTGACTAGAGACCGGCCCTCAGACCGTCATTCAGGGGTAAAACCGCAAAGGATTCTGGGAACTTGTGGCAAGAGGTACTAGCGCATGCAGGCTTTCAATTGAACTCAGTCACACAGCGATAAAAAGAAACACAAAAAATGGCAACAAGCTGTTGTATTCTTAACTGCAATAGCCGGTATTTGCCAAAAACAGATTGCTCGTATTTAAATTGCTATGAGTAACTTGTTGGGCTATAATATGTGAAACATATGTCAAATGCATCCCTGATGGATGACATAAAGTCATCTCTCCATCTCTCTCTGCTGCTCTTCTGTCTCCTCTGTCACGGACTTCTCCACTTTTGATGATAAATCAGCCTGGTGCAACATGTAAGGATTGGCACAATTTGTTAAGATTTTGAGGAGTTTGAGAAACTAACCTTAAGCATAAAATAAAATTTACTATCAGTAACTTCATAGCACCCGCCCAGCAGTATTTAAACTCCGTCATGCTAGCTAGTAGCAGTACCAGTTATTCTAAGCGACTGTAAAAAGTCAGCACAACGAAAACAAACTCCAACTAAACTTGGTTTATATCTGACACAGAGAGACTGCAGGTCATAACTTCTTACCTGAAGTTCAGTTCCTCTGCCACTATGACTGGTGGCCGCCTCGGGTCTCTCCTCCTCTTGCCTCCTCTTTCCCTTATCCACCTGCTGGCCTCCACCACTTGCTGATGTTGCTAAATCTGTGGAAGCTATGCCATAGCTACCGCCAAACAATTCAGTTATTTTTACACATCTGGCAGCGTCTGCCTGAAGGGCTCGTTTCTTTTTGGCCCTAATTTTTTCTGCACCTCCTTTCCTTTTTTTGTTCTCCATTTTCTTTAGTTCATCTATAAGATTGCTAAACAAGGGGGAGGGTGCATCCGACCTCCTCGGCTGTAATTGGTCCAGCCCAGAGTCGATCATGACCAATTGGCCAATCCAACACCTTTCATTATTTATACCCTTCCAAAAAAAAAAAAATCGATCGGCCCATAAAAACAAAAAATCGCCAGCGGCCCACCGGGCAAATGCCCAGTATGCCCGATGGCCAGTCCAGCTATGCACAGACCGGAGGGGGAGAGAACAGACAGGCATGGAATAAAACACAAGGAGGGAAAACAAGGCATAAGAACTCACAGATACACTGAGTGAGACACGGGGTAAAGACACGAAGGGAAACCTAATAAACGACATCTAAACAGAATAACCTAGGGACCTTTAGAATAAACAGTGGACCTAAAACATAATACGTCAAATGACAAAAATACAGGAAAACACAAAGCACTGGGTAGAAGTCCCGGGACCATGACAAGAGCGAGTTTTGAGATGTGATACATATATATATATATATATATATAACAATAACACCCAGCACGCCCCTGCGGGCGGTTTATCCTTCAAGCTCGGGTCCTCTACCAGAGGCCTGGGAGCTTGAGGGTCCTGCGCAGTATCTTAGCTGTTCCCAGGACTGCGCTCTTCTGGACAGAGATCTCCGATGTTGTTCCCGGGATCTGCTGGAGCCACTCGCCTAGCTTGGGAGTCACCGCACCTAGTGCTCCGATTACCACGGGGACCACCGTTACCTTCACCCTCCACATCCTCTCGAGCTCTTCTCTGAGCCCTTGGTATTTCTCCAGCTTCTCGTGTTCCTTCTTCCTGATATTGCTGTCATTCGGAACCGCTACATCGATCACTACGGCCGTCTTCTTCTGTTTGTCTACCACCACTATGTCCGGTTGGTTAGCCACCACCATTTTGTCCGTCTGTATCTGGAAGTCCCACAGGATCTTAGCTCGGTCATTCTCCACCACCCACATTTTGACCTCGGGACTTCCAGGTTATACTCGGCACAGATGTTCCTGTACACTATGCCGGCCACTTGGTTATGGCGTTCCATGTATGCCTTGCCTGCTAGCATCTTGCACCCTGCTGTTATGTGCTGGATTGTCTCTGGGGCATCTTTACACAGCCTGCACCTGGGGTCTTGCCTGGTGTGATAGACCCCAGCCTCTATGGATCTTGTACTCAGAGCTTGTTCTTGTGCTGCCATGATTAGTGCCTCTGTGCTGTCTTTCAGTCCAGCTTTGTCCAGCCACTGGTAGGATTTCTGGATATCAGCCACCTCCTCTATCTGCCGGTGGTACATACCGTGCAGGGGCCTGTCCTTCCATGATGGTTCCTCGTCTCCCTCCTCTTTCTTGGGTTTCTGCTGCCTGAGGTATTCACTGAGCACTCGGTCAGTTGGGGCCATCTTCCCAATGTATTCTTGGATGTTCGTTGTCTCATCCCGGACTGTGGTGCTGACACTCACCAGTCCCCGGCCCCCTTCCTTCCGCTTAGCGTACAGCCTCAGGGTGCTGGACTTGGGGTGAAACCTTCAATACATGGTCAGGAGCTTTCTTGTCTTGATGTCAGTGGCTTCTATCTTGTCCTTTGGCCAGCCTATTACCCCAGCAGGGTACCTGATCACGGGCAGGGCGTACGTGTTGATGGCCCGGATCTTGTTCTTACCATTCAGCTGACTCCTCAGGACTTGCCTGACCCTCTGCAGGTACTTGGTGGTTGCAGCTTTTCTAGCGGCCTCTTCATGGTTCCCATTCGCCTGCGGGATCCCCAGGTACTTGTAACTGTCCTCTATGTCTGCAATGTTGCCTTCTGGTAGTTCAATCCCCTCAGTTCTGACTACCTTCCCTCTCTTTGTTACCATCCGACTACACTTCTCCAGTCCGAACGACATTCCAATGTCATTGCTGTATAGCCTGGTAGTGTGGATCAGTGAATCGATGTCTCGTTCACTCTTGGCATACAGCTTGATGTCATCCATGTACAGGAGGTGGCTGACAACTGCTCCGTTCCGTAGTCGGTATCCGTAGCCAGTCTTGTTAATGATCTCACTGAGGGGGTTCAGGCCTATGCAGAACAGCAGTGGGGACAGAGCATCTCCTTGGTAGATCCCGCACTTGATGGTAACTTGTGCTATGGGCTTGGAGTTGGCCTCTAGTGTTGTACGCCACATCCCCATTGAGTTCCTGATGAAGGCTCTTAGGGTCCCATTGATCTTGTACAAGATATATATATATATATATATATATATATATATATATATATATATATATATATATATATATATATATATGCTGTTCCTAGAGTATTTAAAAGTAGAATGGGAGGCAGAGCCTTCAGTTTTCAGGCCCCTCTTCTGTGGAACCAGCTTCCAGTTTGAATTCGGGAGACAGACATCATCTCTACTTTCAAGATTAGGCTTCAAACTGCAATAGCCCTATCATTGGTTATTGTTAATCTCTGGCTCTCTTCCACAGCATGTCTTTGTCCTGTCTTCCTTCCCTCACCGCAACTGGTCGTAGCAGGTGGTCGTCAAACCTGGTTCTGCTGGAGGATTCTCACTGTTAAGAGGAAAATTTTCTTTCCCACTGTTTCCAAAGTGCTTACTCATATGATAGTTGGGTTTTTCTCTGTATGTATTATTGAAGGGTCTACCTTACAATATAAAACACCTTGAGGCAACTCGTTTGATTTGGTGCTATATAAATAAAATTGAAATAAACTGAACAAAATGTTGTAGAGAAGAAAACATTGGAGCAATGATCATTTTATTGCTGAATCACACAGGAAATGAAATTTATTGTCAACAAATTCTGTCACTGGTTGTAAAATGAATGGAAACAGATAAATATGATACAAAGCATTTGCATTATGGTAATATAGACCTATGCAAAGGACATAAGCTAGAGAACAGATTACTTTGTAAAACTCACTTCAAGCTTCCTGCCTCCATACAACCATCTTTAGTACAACTAACATTGTAGAAATTATTCCTTTTCCATTTGTTAATAATGGTCAGTCTAAAGTGTTACTCACAGTCAATGTGTGGAATCTTCTGGTCTAAAATAAAATTATTGGTGAGGTTTGGAAAAAGATTTTTTAAAGGATTTTTTAATGTAAAGTATTTGCCTGAATAAATCTGTGTCATTGTTTCTGCAAGTCTTCGTCCTAAAGTGAACACAGAGACACAGAGGAAGATCTAAATAGCCTAAATCCAGGATAAAGAGTCTCAGTGAATGTGGTGCTGAAGGTGTGGAGATGGATCAAGGAGTTTGAGGAGACTCTGTAGAAGGACAGAGTCCCAGCAGGACAGTCTACATACACTGCTACTCTGTTTGAGGTGGAGGAGGTGGATGAGGTGGAGGAGGCGGAAGAGGAGACGAAGGAGGAGGAAGAGGTAGAGAGGTCTGTTCTAGTGTTATTGTGCCAAGCAAAGTAACCATCTTCAGAGCATCTCAGACTCCACGACTGATTATTCCATCCAAACCAGCAGCCTTTGCTGGCTCCTGTCCTTCTGATTCCTCTGTAACTCACTGCTATGTAAACCCAACCTTCCCACTCAACCTCCCAGTAACAGCGACCAGTCAGCCCATTTCTACACAGAATCTGTTTCCAGTCATCAAACCTCTCTGGGTGATCAGGATATGGCTGCTCATCATCCACAAATGCCACTTTAGTGTTGTTGTCGAACAAGATGAGGTTTCTGTTTGCTGTGTTTGGGTCCAGTGTGAGTTCACAGGAATCTAAGAGAGAGAAGAATCCTTTATTATTTGACACGGTGCAATCAGTGCTCCATCTATAAAACCACAATTTTACCTGATATAAATTTGGCAACAATAAAGTTTGGCTATTTGCTTTTGTCCAGTACTCTGTAGAAATACTGACTTGATCACTTCTACATTCATATATTTCTTGATGCATGTTCAATCATCCAGGTACGTAAATCCCAAAAAGTTGATTCTGTTCATCTGGACGTTTTCAGTGGGAGAAACTTTCGTCATCATCCAGGTGATTTCTTCAGTGTCAGCTGGCTGCAGGTTTCCCCAATCATATAAACAGTACATTTACTGAAACTATCAACAACCACTGATCAATGTCCATGAGAGTTGGGGGATGGCTGCAATCACAGCATTGTAAGATGGTGAAAGACAAGGGAAAGACCATCTCTGAATCGAGGAGGGGGCCTAAGGATACATCTTTTACCATCATACAATGCTGTGATTGCAGTCTTTGATCAATGGTCATGACAATCATCGAGCTAGTGGGTAACAGACGTCTCCGAAAACGTCGGAGCGCTTTTGAAAATATGTGGTGTCTTGATAAACTGAGCAGATATTTGAGGTTTACACAGCTACATTCTCGCCTGAAAATATGTTAAACGTTTATTATGTGACCCAGAAAGAATAATAAGAGTAATATTAAAACTAACTAGCTGCCGCCATTGTTGGAAACTAAGCTGGGCCGCGCTATGAATTCTGGGACACAGCTTCTTCTTCTTCGGGGTTTAACGGCAGCTGGCATCCTTGTACATGCAGTGCTGCCATCTTCTGTTTCAGTCCGTTATTACACTCTTAAATCCTGCTACTTATTCCTGCGTCTTTTGGGATCTTACAAAGCTTCAAACGACGCGTCGACTATTAATGATTTTGATAGTCGACGTAATCGTGACTAGTCGACTAATCGTGGCAGCCCTACTGCACATAAGATAACAAATAATAATAGGGTAAAACAGACAATATAAAACAGGCAGAAATTCAACCAAAAACAGTTTTGAAAAGGTGAGTTTTGAGTTGTTTTAAAAACAGCTACTGAGTCCACAGTTCTTGATGTATGAGGGAGAGAGTTCCACAGTCTCGGGGCCACAGTGGCAAAAGCTTTGTCACCCTAAGTTCTCATCTTAGTCTGTTTTATAGCAAGTAAGCCCTGATCAGATGACCTCCGGGACCTGCTGGGGACATCGGGCTGTGGCAGATCGGAGATGTAGGCTGGTGCCAGTCCATGCAAGGCTCTAAATGTCAAGACCAGGATCTTAAAATGTACTCTAAATTCAACAGAAAGCCAGTGTAGCTGAAATAGCAATGGTGTCACATGTGAAGCCGGACTGAAACTTATCACAAATGTTATGTTTGTCCAGAGCCGCTATAAGTTGCTTAGCCGCAACCTTTTCTAGAAGCTTAGCAATTAACGGTAATTTAGAGATAGGTCTGTAGCTGCTGGAAACAGAGGCGTCTAGCTGAGGGTTTTTTAAAGTGGGAGAATAGCAGCATTTTTAAAATAAACCGGAACTATACCAGATGCAGTAAACACACTCACACTTTCTCAGGCCAGGTTTTAGTCTCTGCTGCCCACCATGTTCCAGCCTTGGAGAGGAAGAAAAAGGAAGAAAAAAATTCTTTCCACTTACACGTCTGCCATTATTAACAGAAGGAAATGTACATCTAGATTTTTTTAGTTTGCGTTGCAACTAGAACATACTCTGAAACACTTCCCCTGTTTGTCAATACGCCACAGAAACTGTTTCTGTGCTCATGTCTTCTCTTCATACCTGAGAGTGTCTAGTCTCCAGTCTGAGTCCTCCACTCCAGCGGAGAACAGCTTTACTGATGAGTCGTCCAGAACATTGTAGCTCAGGTCCAGTTCTCGCAAATGGAAGTGGTTGGATTTTAGAGCTGAAGCTAAATAAGTACAGCCTTCCTCTGTGACGATACAGCCGGACAGCCTGGGTCAAATAGCACATAGAACGATAGACAACAAATAGCCAAAACACTTAAAAATGACTTGCTTTGGTCTGCCATTGTTTTACACTGTTTTATGCTGTATGCTGAAATTAGCTCATTGCTAACATTTTTAATATATCAAATTACCATTTATTATTGAGACTGATATTGATTTAATCGAAAACACATGTTAGGGCATGTTAGCAAACACAAGTAAATTTCTGCAATGGCTTGCCACATCAATCCCTATACAACCGTTGCAAGAGCTTGGTTCGCATTGCTGGCAATAAGTCGGACTCGTTCCCGATGGGTGATGGGCTCTGCCAGGGCTGCCCTTTGTCTCCGGTTCTGCTCATAATTTTTATGGACAGGATTTCTAGGCGCAGCCAAGTGGCGGAGGGCTTTCGCTTTGGTGGCCTCAGAATCTCATCTCTGATTTTTGCAGATGATGTGGTTCTGTTGGCTTCATCGGGTGAGGGCCTCCAGCTCGCACTGGAACGGTTCGCAGCCGAGTGTGAAGCAGCGGGAATGAGGATCAGCACCTCCAAATCTGAGGCCATGGTTCTCAGCCGGAAAAGGGTGGAGTGCCCACTCCGGGTCGGGGATGAGTTCCTGCCCCAAGTGGAGGAGTTCAAGTATCTCGGGGTCTTGTTCGCGAGTGATGGGAGAAGGGAGCCGGAGATCGACAGACGGATTGGGGCTGCAGCTGCAGCAATGCAGACGCTGCACCGGTCCGTCGTGGTGAAGAGGGAGCTGAGTGTAAAAGCGAAGCTCTCAATTTACCAGTCGGTCTACGTCCCTACCCTCACCTATGGCCACGAGCTGTGGGTAGTGACCGAAAGAACGAGATCGCGGATACAAGCGGCAGAAATGAGCTTCCTCCGAAGGGTGGCTGGCCTCTCCCTTAGAGATAGGGTGAGAAGTTCGGCCATCCGGGAGGGGCTCAGAGTAGAGCAGCTGCTGCTCCACATCGAAAGGAGCCAGCTGAGGTGGTTCGGGCATCTGACAAGGATGCCCCCTGGGCGCCTCCTGGGTGAGGTGTTCCAGGCATGTCCCACCGGGAGGAGGCCCCGGGGCAGACCCAGGACACGCTGGAGAGATTATATCTCTCAGCTGGCCTGGGAACGCCTTGGTATTCCCCCGGATAAGCTGGAGGAGGTGGCTGGGGAGAGGGAGGTCTGGGCCTCTCTGCTTAGGCTGCTGCCCCCGCGACCCGGCCTCGGATAAAGCGGATGAAGATGGATGGATGGATGGCTTGCCACATCGAGCAAAACAGCAAGGAAAAGGGTGCTCAACCAAAGCCAGAGAGAAGTGTAGTATGCTAGTATTACTTTAGTATGCTTTTATGTGGACTTGTTTACTTAAAAAACAAACAACAACAAAAAAAAACAAAGAAAAAACCAGTCTGTAATAATGAGGTGCTCAACTGAATCAAAATTCTTGTTATTTTAAGATACAGTCTTACATCATATAAGAATTATCATTAAAGAGACATTAATTGCTATTAGTGTAGGGTATTTACTAGGGCTGCACGATTAATCGTTAGAAAATCGCGATCTCGATTCATACTTATGTGCGATCTCATTTCCAAATGACAACGATTAAAAAAAAAAAAAAAAGACGACGACGGTTGTACCGCATTTTGATCCGGGACGTAATCTGCATGAAAACAAGCGCTCACTCTTCCTGCTCAACAAATGACAAGGGCGGAGCCTTATACCACGTGATACAGAAGCTGTGCCGTGTGATGCTAAAATTAGCAGGAAAAAACAACAGAGAGCACGTCAGGGATGACGAGAAAGTGACAGGAGAAAATCCGTCCCGGTCAACCACCCAAACATCAATAACGGGAACCTTATACAGCACCTCCCCTGTCGACCTCCCGCAGGCACAAAGAAATTACGGAGGCTATCACTTATCACCTGACCAAAGATATGGCTCCATCAACACTGTGCAAAACGAGGGATTTAGGAAAATGATCAACACCCTAGACAAACGCTACACAGTGCCGTCCCGCAACTACTTTTCTATCGTTGCACTACCTGCTCTATACACGCAGCGTCGAGCAACGGTGGAGACGGAATTTCAAGCAGTACAACATTTTACGGCAACAACAAAACGTGAGACATTTGTTGTTTTTATGTTTATTTATTGTTTTTATGTTCAGTCTCAACTGTTACGAAGTTGATGTGCAGTTAATAAGTGCAATAAATATTTATACTGGAAAAGAAAATCGTGAGGGAATCGTGATCTGAATTCTAAGCCAAAAAATCGTGATTCTCATTTTATGCAAAATCGTGCAGCCCTAGTATTTACCTTTTAGTTTAAAGAATGGTCAAGTGTTTTTATTATAGAAATAAAATTGAATTAACTGTATGTAAAGCAACATTTAATACAGACCTGAGAATTTCCAGTCTACACTGTAGACTTGCCAGTCCGGCAGAAAGGAGTTTAACTCCTGAATCTTCTAGGTCATTGTTACTCAGGTCCAACTCTCTCAGATTAGATGACGGTGAGCTGACAACTGAGGACAGAGCTTCACAGCTTCTTTTTGACAGATTACAGCCACTCAACCTGGAGGAGAGTTAGTGATAAATTGACCTGTACATCAAATACAATCAGATCCATATTGTCTGGAAAGAAGTTTTGTGGCCCAGTGATATCTGTTCCCTAATTTTTCCCAGCAGATAAAAGGTTAATTCCAAGTGTTAAACTTGTATTTGGCACCTATTCATTAGAAGTATCAATATTCAATATTTATGCTCTAAAATATAAAACTTTAGATTTAACTGTTGTACTTTATTTTTAGCATGACTGCATGCTGGTTTGTTGAACCATTTCATGATTGTTTAATTTCAATACAAAACTATAAACAAAGCCTTTGATGAATAGACTCCTAAATGAATTGCAGCCTGGCCGGGCTCAGCCCAAAGCAGGGGCATTGGCCCACCCTCTGTAGGCCCACCACCGACAGGAGGCACCAGAGGGGTTGGGTGAAATGTGTACTGGGCGGCAGCCAGGCATACTGATCCTCGGCTACCAAGACTAGCGTTACCCCTCTGATGGTAAAGGAGCCTATGCTAGGTTGAGAGGTACCGGCAAGATATAGTCGGGCTCACCTCAAAACACAGCTTGAGCTCCAGAACCCGTCTCCTGGAGAGGGACTGGACTCTCTCTCAGTCTGGTGTTACCCTTGGTGAGAGGCGGTAGGCTGGGGTGGGTATCTCAGTATCCCCTCGACTTGCACCTGTATGTTGGAGTTTTTCCCAGTGGACGAGAGGATTTGTTATTCGTCTGTACTTATTCACCAAAAGACAGTTTTGAGTACCCAGCCTTCTTGGAGTGGGTGGGGTGCTTGAGGGTGCTCTACCTGGGGACTCTGTCATCTCATTAGGAAATTTCCCCACTCATATGGGCAACAACAGTGAGACCGAATGGTGCTGTGTTATTGGACTGCGTAAACCACAGTTTCGCAATAACACCATGTTTAAACCTAAGGGTGTCCAGAAGTACTCGTGGCACCAGGATACCATAGGCCACAGGTCAATGATCAATTTTGTAATTGTATCATCAGGTCTATGGCCATACGTTCTGGATCCTTGGGTAAAGAGAGGTGCTGAGCTCTGCTGAAGCACCTAAACATATAGTAAGGGTGCACTGGGAATGCCTAGAAGAGGCCCCTGTCCACAAGATCTTCAATTCCCACTTCTGGCAGAGATTTGGTAGCTTTCTGAGGACCATGTTCAGCACCTCCATTGCTGAATCTGCTGCACTGAGCTGCGGTTGCAAGGTGATTAGTGCCTGTCAAGGTGGTGACCCCCAAACCTGATGGTGGACAAGGGATGGTAGTGAAGGGAACCCCGGCTGAAGGAGTCCTAACGGGCTTGATTAGCCTGTGGGAATTTGGAGGCAGTCAGTAGGTACCGAGAGGATAGGTACCGAGAACATGACTCTGGCACTGGCTGAAATAAAACCTCAGAGGAGATTTTATAAGCCATCGAAAAAGCCTTTTCGATTGCCTCAAAATTCTGTCAAGCCATCGGGGGGCTCAGGAGGGGACAGCGGTGCACTACCTGATCTGTGTATAATACAAGTGGAGTGCTGCTGACTTCGTCTAAGTGGGCGACTGTGGTTCAGGGGGTTGGGAAGCTCATCTTGTAACAGGAAGGTTGCCGGTTCAATCCCCAGTGGGAGAAGGCTTCCACTTGGGCAGCCTCAGAATCTCATCTCTGATAATGTGGTTCTGTTGGCTTCATCAAGTGGTGGCTTATGGCTTGCAAGTTTGAGCCCATGGTCCTCAGCAGGAAAAGGGTAGAGAGCCCATTACGGATCAGGGAAAAGTTACTGCCCCAAGTAGAGGAATTTAAGTATCTTGAGTCTTAATAAAGAATGAGCCGCAGATTGACAGACGGATTGGTGCTGCGGCTGCAGTGATGTAGACACTGTATTGGTCTACTGTGGTGAAGAGAGAGCTAAGAGTAAAAGCGAAGCTCTTGAATTACCGGTCAGGGTTCAGGGATCTGACAAGTATGCCTCCTGGGTGAGGTGTTCTAGGCATTTCCCACCAGCATGAGACCCCAGGGCAGGCCGAGGACATGCTGAAGAGATTATATCTCTCGGCTGGCCAGAGAATGCCTTTGTGCTCCCCTTGACAAGCTGGAGGAGGTGGTTGGGGAGAGGGAGGTCTGGGCTTGTCTGCTTAGGCTGTTGCCCCCTGCATCCCGGCCCTGGATAAGTGGAAAAATATGGTATATTCAAACTGAAATCCTAAAACAGGACACCAAGTGCCTCAAAGGTAAAATTCTTGGGTTTCTGCATCTGTACATGTTAAGCATGAGGTAAGCTAAATCTAACACTACCCAAAATGGTTTGGTAGTTACACCTACTGTAGGATCATAGAGTTTGGAGTTCCAATTATTTTTCAATATAATCTTTTGTATCTGTGCACCTACAGAACTGTTTTGGAGGCTTTCACCACTGGAAGTAACCTGAGAAGAGCTTCCTCTGAAGGAGAGTATTTCTTCAGGTCAAACACATCTAGATCTTCTTCTGATGATAGTAAGATGAAGCCCAGAGCTGACCACTGAGCTGGAGTGAGTATATCTGTGGACAGACGTCCAGAACTCAGATACTGTTGGATCTCCTCCACTAGAGAACAGTCCTTCAGTTCGTTCAAACAGTGGAACAGATTAATGCTCCTCTCTGCGGACACATTCTCACTGATTTTCTTCTTGATGTATTGGACTGTTTTCTGAGTGGTCTCTGAACTACTGTCTATTTTCATTAGCAGGTCCTGTAGTTTATCCTGATTGGTCTGCAGTGAAAGACCCAAGAGGAAGCGAAGGAATAAGTCCAGATGTCCGTTTGGACTCTGTAAGGCCCTGTCAATGGAAATCCTGTGGGTCTTCTTTGAAGATGTTTTACTTAAAAGCAGTTGAAGATTGCGCATTGAGGGCTGTGGTAAAGGCATCACATTTATGTTACTGTTATTAAGCGACATCCTCACATAAAGAGCAGCCAGAAACTCCTGAACGCTCAAATGGACGAAGCTGAACATCTTGTCTTTCCCTTTCCTTCCTCGATCTTCTTTGAAGATCTCTGTGAACACTCCTGAGCACACCGAGGCTTCGCTGAAATCAATGCCGCTCTGTCTCAGATCCTTCTCATAGAAGATCAGGTTGCCCTTTTCCAGCTGCTCAAAGGCCAGTTTTGCTAATGACTTAATGTATTGAATGCTCTTTTCTGGGCCATACTTTTCTTTTGTCCGATCAATCTGAAACACCAGGAACTCTGCGTACATCTCAGTCAGAGTCTTGGGCAGCTCTCCTCCCTCTCTGGTTTTCAACACATCCTCCAGAACTGTTGCAGTGATCCAGCAGAAGACTGGGATGTGGCACATGATGTGGAGGCTTCGTGATGTCACGATATGGGAGATGAGTTTGTCAGCCTCCTCCTTACCTTTGAATCTCTTCCTGAAGTACTCCTCTTTCTGTTGGTCGGTGAACCCCCTGACCTCTGTTGTACTGCTGATAAACTCTCGAGGGATCTGATTGGCCGCTGCAGGCCGTGTGGTTACCCAGATGCGAGCAGAGCGTAGCAGTTTCCCATTGATGAGTTTCCTCAGCAGGACATCTGTTTTAGCTGCCTTTGTTACATCGACAGAGCGAATGTCTTCAGAATGAAGGTCGAGATGAAGGCGGCTCTCATCCAGCCCATCAAACACAAACAGAAGTTTGAATTTACTCTTGTCATAGTTGGTGATTCCTGATGACTGAACATCTGTAAAGATGTAATTAAGAGCCTCCTGTGGGATGCCTACAGTTTCTGGGATGCATTCATGAATGAGCTCTGCCAAACGGAACTTTTCTCCCTTCAGAGGATTCAGCTGACGGAAGGTGAAGGGGAAAATCAGATGCACATCTTGATTGGATCTTTGTTCAGCCCAGTCCAAAACAAACTTCTGGACAAGGAAAGTTTTTCCAATTCCTGCGATTCCATTGGTCATCACTGTTTTGATGGGTCTGTATTTTCCAGAGGGATGTTTAAACATGTCTGTGGGTCTAATAGGTTTCTCTGGCTCTGCTGGCTTCCATGCCTTTTCAATCTGCCAAACCTCATGCTGTGTGTTGATATGTACATCATACCCAGCTGTGATGTACAGCTCTGTGTAGATATCTGCCAGACACTCTTTATCTTCTGCCCAACCTTCTTGTGCGCACATAAACTTGTCCTGGAAGTTTGATTGAAGCATCTGTTGGTAAGATGCGATGGGGTGAGGCTCTGGTACTGGAACCACCACATCTGTGTCAAATATGCAACATGGAAAGTGTAAGGTGTATATCCACCATTAAACAAATCTAGAAATTAAGTTATTTCAATCTTTCCTTGCACATAAAAAGTCTTCAATAATCAGGACCCATTATATCGCAAAGACCTTTCACTATTCCACTAGAGTACTTTGAGAAACAGGCTTACTTGTGGTTTCCAAAAGTACAATGGTGGCAGAGCTGCCAAGCCATTTTCCTACATAACTTGCTCCTACTTTGTGACAGCCTAATCTGAAAAGTAGAGAGGATAACACTGGAAGTAAATTCCAGATGTTCTACTTTGGTGTAGAAGGAAGAAAACTGGAATAGGTGTAATCTTGAAGGAAGAGTATGTGAATAGTTTTGTGGAGGTAAAGAGAGGATCATGAGTTTGAAGCTGGAAATGGAAGGGGCTGTGTTGATTGTCAGTTTGTATGCCTCACAGGTTGGAGTTTAGAGGAGAAAGAGGAAGTCTGGTGAAACCTGGATGAAGTGGTGGATTTCATCTAAATGTGAAAGAGATCCTGCAAGGTGGTGTTAGGGGAGGTTTGGATGGTGGATGACGGATATCAAGAAGAGAAAGTGAGTGAAGGAGAAGCAAAGATGAAATGCTGGATGTTAAATAAAAAAAGAGTTGCAGAGTTCAGGAAGGGGTTGAGACAGAGAGAGGTGGCAAAGGCTTATGGTGAGCTACATGTGAGGTTGGACACTAAGGATGGAGAAAAGGAGTTGTACCCAATGGTAAGAGACAGACCAGGATGGGAAGCGTGTGCAGCAGGTAAAGGTGATTAACCCTTTAAAGCCGGTCGGAGCGGACACGCTCCATTTTGCGTAACTATTTTTAAATCCCGTAGCTCTGCAACCACGTAAGCTAGCGCAATAATTTTTTTTGCATATGAAACCGGAGGAGTTGTACTTACATCTGATGCCATCAGTTTGTCCTCGGTCACAGTTTCCTTCCACATATAGCTTTGCAAAATTTCATAAAAAGCACTTGCAGCAACAAAAACATAATATTCCAGAAACACGCTTTGCCGATCCGACCAGCTGTTTGTAACACTTCCTACGTTGGAATAGACGTCAGCGCGAACTATCGCATGTCCGGCATGACCTGCCCGAAACCGGAAGTGACGTCATTTTGCGGAAATGTAGTTTTTTACCATCGTGGCCTTATGAGCCTATACTGGTGTTTTCAAAAGTTATGTTTGACTTTATGACTTTCTGTGTCGTTTCTGGGATGCCTAGGACTCATATTGCACTGCTGGAAATAGTTTATTTTGATGCATATGCTGTTTTTTTGCAAATTTGCATTATAATATTTATTTTCGTTTTTCCTGCAGTATATGAAAATTGGTGTATCTCAAAAATAAAATTATGAAGACAAAATAAATTTCCTTTGGTGGGAAACTAGTTTGTGCAACTTTTTTGTATTTACAGTTTTGAGGGATATGCCTCTTAAATTTCTCTAACTAGAAATATATGTTAAAAACCAAAAATGATTTTCAATTTTTTTGTAGTTTATTGCACTTTTTTGCAATTTATGTAATTACTATGCACTTAATGCAGACATATTATTACAATTTGGGCTATAATGGTTGTATTGATGTATAGCAACTTGAAATGCTCCAAAAAATGGCTCCACAGCATGTAAAAATATACTATAAGCTCTGGCGGACTTGGTTCTATGGTAGGTCTTAAAGGGTTAAGGATGGAAATGTACCTATGAGTAATACGACTGTGCAGGAAATATGGAAGGAGAACACTGGCAAATTTGTTAATAAAGAAAATGATAGACAAAGGAGGATCGATGGAGGGCAGTTAGTAAGCAGGATTAGTAAAGAAGACGAGTGGAGGTATGGAAATGTCTAGAAGAAAGGGCAGTGGACCTGTTAGCCACAGAGTTTAAAGCAGTCTTGCCTGAAGAGTGGAGAAGAAATATGACAAAGAGCTCTACAGATGTGACGTTTGCTCTGAGAGCGTTGATGGAAAAGTTTAGACAAGCTCAGAAGGAGCTTCACTTTCTTTGTGGATCAGAGAAAGCAGGTGATTGGCTGCTGAGAAAGGAGCTGTGGTTCTGCACGAGGAAGTCAGGAGGGTCAGAGAAGTGTGTGGAGGTGGTGCAGGACATGTGAGGACAGAGGTGAGGTGTGTGGTAAGATTAACAGGTGGGTTCAAGGTGGGGGTGGGATTACATCAGGGATCAGCTCTCAGCTCCTTGTTTGCAGGTGGAGTAGAGCGTGGAGAGGTGGAGGTATGATCTGGAGAGCAGGGGGATGAAAATCAGTAGACGTAATACAGGCATGTGTGGATGAGGGGGAGACTGGTGCAGAGGTCAACATGAAGGAGCAGAGGTAGTGAAGGTGGATGAGTTTAAGTACTTTGGGTCAACCACCCAAAGCAACAGAGTGCACAAGAGAGGTGAAGAGGACAGTCCAGGCAGGGTGGAGTGGGCGGAGACAGAAGTCAGGGGTGATTTATGACAGAAGCTAAAGAGTACACAATAAATACTAATTCTATGAGACGAAGATAAGAAAACAAGCTTCTTATGAAAAATGATTAATGTATGTTAGTCTATTTTGTTATTCGTCATAATGACAAACTCTACAAACCAGTAAAATAAAATAAAATCATGGCTACTTGCCTTCAGTCTGAGGAAATCCTCTCTTCTGTGAAGTCTCCCCACAGTTGCTGACGTCCGCTGACAGGCAGTGATTTTGAGTGTTAGACTGATTTAACCTGCACGCTGTGAAACGTTTTCAGACTGCAGTGACGTCATGTTTGGTTTTCTTGTAACTTACCTTCTCGTCCTGAGCTGCTGGCACACAGACTCTGCAGCAGGTCATTCCTGCTTATCCTCTCTAAAATCTTCTTAGCCACCTCCACAGCTCCAGGAAGCCTGTAGGTTTGCACCATCAGGTCGACAGTGTCCCACCTGTTTGTTGTCTCCAATCGACTCTTTTTGATGGTTGGGAAGCTTTGAAGGACGTCAGCTTGATGTAGGAGCCACTTGAATTTGTTAAACTCTTCATCTCCCAAATCCTCCAGAGTACTTAACAGGTCCTCTGACGTCATCCCTGATCCCTGCTAAAGGAGGAGAATATTCTCAGCAGGTATTTAACATATTTGTTGCTGGTTGAGAATAAACACGACGTCTCTGCCGTTGGTGTTCGAATAAACATTTTGAGTTTTAATTTTGGTGGTGTGGACTCATGGTTCTGTCTTTTGGATTTCACAGATGATTTTAGTTCGTGCTCATTATTACTTAGATTTCCTAGTTCTTGGTTTCTGAAGTTCACTTTTGCTTAAAATAATATGCAATAGAACAGTTTATTTTATGTGTCTATAACGTATTCATCGGGTTTGCTTATACAGCCTTGAAATCCCTTCACAACTATGCACATGCACATGGGAGCGTGGAGTATTTGCCCTGAAGCGACAGGCACTTCAATCCCTGTCCTGCCACAGTGAGAGCTTGGCTTGCTCTGCTGGCAGTGAGTCGGTTCAGTTTTACTTATAATGCACCAAATTACAACAGCCTCAGTGTTTGCAATGTGAAGTTTGTCACACATTGTGTCTTCTAGCTAAAGGTAAAGCTGTTAAGTTTAACAGGGATGAGAGCCAACTGGCAACCTGTCCAGGGTGTACCCAGCCTCTCACCCTAAGACAGCTGGGATAGGCTCCAGACCCCCACAACCCTGAAAAGGATAAGCAGATGATGGATGAATGGATGGATGGATGGATGGATGAATGGATGGATGGATACTCAGATATTGACATACTTTCGCACGCTCTGTCAGCAAAAGCTGAAAATAAAAACTATAATGCAAAGTAGTCAATGTATAGCTTGTATTTACTGTCCCCTCTAAATAATTCAATGCACAGCCATTCATGCCTAAACTGCCATTTCCCTCCCTGGTGTCATGTGACTCGTTAGTGTTAAAAGTAGGGATGGGTACCGGTGTCCGGTGCCATGATGGCACCGGTTCTGACATAAACGGTAGTAACCAGACCGAAAAGCAGCGCACATTTCGGTGCTTTATTTCGGTGCTTTTTTTCCTGAGCTGTGACACACTTTAGATTCTAGCCAATCATTTTACGTTTCCGAGGATAGTAGGCGGGTCCAGGTACGCATGTTCCTTTAGAGCAGAGCTACAGATTAAAAATGCCCAAGGCGAAGCGGTCAAAAGTCTGACTGTACTTCACAGCAAAAGATGCAAACTCAGCAGCAACAAGTGCTTTAAGCTGATACTGTAAAGTGTGTGTGTTAGTCCCCATAGGGAAATAGTTCCTCTGCATTTAACCCATTCACCCAGTGAAGCAGTGGGCAGCCACCAGTGCAGCGCCCGGGGAGCAGTGTGTAGGGACGGTACCTTGCTCAGGGGTACCTCAGGGTAGCCGTTCAGTGGAGTCGAACCCCCGACCTTCCGATCATGGGGCCACCACTCTACCTACTGAGCTATCCCTGCCCATACTGTGATACTGTCAAAGGAGGTAACACCTCGAATCCGATGAAACACCTGGCGACGCATAGCGTTTTTTTTAAAAGCCGAGAAATGCGCCGTATTTGATAGCTTGCTGCGAGACCTCACACCGAGCACATCTACTGCGGGTGTGGTGCCTGTTATCGGACCCGGAGTTAGCAACATCCCCCAAAAACCCCGAAGAGGAGAGTCCTGGCCCCTAGCCCTGCCAGTGTAGCAGAAATGATGAGGATGATGATGCAGCAGCAGCCGTTCTTCTCTGCGTGAGTAGCTTAATGTTGTTCGTGTGTAATTTACGTTGAGTAGGCTAACCACGTTATTACATTAATGCATGTAAGGTGAACTAGCAAACACCATCATAGCTACATGCGGCTGTCTTCTTGTTTGATGGCAGATGCTCCCTTCACCCTGGCCAAAAAGGCTAAAATGACCAAAGAAAAAGTGGGAAACAGCTGAACATGAGAGGTTTTTGGACAAAGTTTGTTTTTTC